CCCCAAAACCCCAAAACCCCAAAACCCCTAAATAAGAAAAGAGTGCTGAAATTTGTAATTATTAATGATAGTTAAGAGAAAGAATAAAATAGAAAAGGGTAATAGAAGAGAATGCAGCTGTAAGGAATCTCAAAATTTGAAGATCTGGATGGGTATCAAAAGACATCAAAATTTTACAGTTGTATGATTTGAAAGAGATTAGGATCATTAACTTGGAATTTATAATTGTATTATTGGATCTAAATCATAATCATATCATATTTAAATGGACCATAGAAATTTAAAGATTTCACAATCCAAAGTTCCCATTGTTGAACAATTCTATAGCCTTCACTCAGCCGATCAACCATGACCTTCAGACTCTCAATGAAGTTGCTGCCGATCCGTTTGCTGCAGAAAATTTGATGCAGTACTACTGTTTGTGAGTTCCAGAATATTCTCAGAATGTTCATATGAGCATCAAGGATACTTTAACACCGAATCAGAATTATTGATATCCGAGTGATAGAGACCTAAGTCGTAAAGATATTCAGTATGTCTCCAAAGACTTTAGTTACAAGGTAAACCACAAATCAATGCTTTTTGATGGTCAACAACAAATTTTGTCAAATGGATATGTTGACCAGTTCAGAATGAGCAATCAAATGTATAATCAGTGGGGAATCCAAAGCAACACAGCCAAGCAAGCCTTGTGTCCTGACATCAATATAAGTCTCCGAGATCACCCACATATTACCCACAGATCTCTGACAAAGCATCGCTGCACAGTTCCAAATTGAGCCAAGTCGTTCAAAACCGAGTCGAACAGAGACCGCCACGTGAGGTTCCACTTCAAAACAAGACCCTTTGTGTGTCCAGTGTGTCCAAAGAGTTTCACCCAGAACGGCAACTTGAAGAAGCACTTGCTGAGCCACTCGGAGCCTAACCTGGACACCAGGAGAGTGCACGAGTGCAGTGTTTGTGGCAAGAAGTACACTGAAAAGTACACCCTGAAGGTAAGAGTTGGCTGACCTGTAGACGCATGAGAGGAAGTTCCACCCAGCAGAGTATGCACGCAAGTACGGATACAGAGGCATAACTAATTTGTACTAAATATGTACGGACTAGCTCTTTTCTGTGATTTTCTTTTGATTAATTTACTTTCTTCTTTTTTTAAGCAAGCTTATCAAGCATATATAACGCATTTCTGCTTCATGAAGATTCTTAACACTCTTTACAATCAAGATACTCTGAAAGTGTGATGAGGCCACGGGATTCAATCAAAAATATTAGATAGTTCTTGAGCTTGTTATCTGTAATGTATCTCCATTATTCCAAAGGAACTCTCATTAGAAATCTTAGAGGGATTATATAAAGTGAACTTGTTGATAATATGCTGGGTACGAGAGGTTTAGTTGTATTTCCTCAAGGTAATAAAGATCTCTAGTTTCATGTTCACTAGCCCTAACAAAGTCTTGCATCACTTAAAATTTATGCTAAAGCCATAATTTGTGGCAACAGAGAGTCGAGCAATTATGAATTTTCTATTTGTATTTTAGACTATGAGTCGTCTCTTTTAGAATGAGTTCTAGCTCTTTAAGAATACTCTTCCCGGAGCTATTCATGACCACAAATTATTATCACAATTAGGGAGGGGATAAATGTCTTTCAGCATTTTAATGTACGATTATTACTATGAGAAGTAAGAAAATTTTATACTGCTATTGCCCAGCAGTTACTGGAAGATCACACAAAATCTCCCTTCATTCGCACAGATGAAGGCTAAAAGAACTCTGACTTGCTGCTAGTTTTTGAGAGTGCAAGTATTTCCAAGACTCATTGAGATGAGACTTTAGTAAAAATCTAGGCAACTTGGAATTAGTTTGTTAATTTCATCACCGCATAATTTATATGACTGAGTATTCTTAATGGATATGCAAGATGAAGACCGTAAACAAGCAGCCAATAAATAGTACTCTTAAGACTTGTTGAAACACTTGTATTTGATATTTTCTGGATGCTTTCAATAAGCTTCGTCATAAACTTCGATGCTGAAATATGAAAATTTCATAATATACTACCACACGATTAGAACCTATCTAATAGGGTGAGCTTAATTGAAGCCTGGCTACGTAAAGACAACCATAAATACACTCTTAGGTATGATTAATAATTTTATGGCTAACTCCGACTCACATAGCCAGATGATAAGTCCTAGTTTAGATTCAAAGAACTTATTGGTTAAGCCTCATAGGAATTCTCAGAGGTCGCTTTACCCACTAAAATTATTGTAATAATTTAGTTTGCTCTGAATCCTTGTCTTGGTACGATTTGAGCTTCAGGAGGTGGCATTTTGATAAGCCTTGTCCATCCATTGCGAATCTGATCAGTTCGGTAATTTCTAGTTCGAATAAAATTCATGATACTTTCATAAAAAATAAGTTTGAGCAAGGCCAAGCTTTGATCAATATGAGTATGGTCGCTTCATGAGGACCTCTCGGCTTGATCTGCAGTCTTGGGTGTAAACATCACGCTTATTGTTAACATTTGGAAAGAAGGAATCGTGCAATAGAAATACTTCATAAAAAGTGTTACTTAGTTTAATAGCAATCTCTTCCACAACAAAATTTTGGCTGAAAGAGAGCCTTGGAGACCAATTTTATTATGAGCAAAGAGGATGAAAGCGTATGGAGAATACTCTTAAGTACCAAATCATCAGACTCTTATGTATTGTTGCTCTCGACAACTAAATTAACTGACCAGCTCATAGATGAATCGAACACAGTGTATAATACGAATTTAGGTTAGCAGCTAATTCTCCATAATTTTAAAGAAGCTTTAGAATTTTTCTGAAAATGAAATTAGATTTGAAAATACCAAGTTTAATTATTTCCGACTTAAAGTCTTCTGAATGCATCACTTTGGCATTATGACCCTGATTTAGATATTCAGGTTTTGTTAATACTTCCTTACTTATGCATTTGTTATTTGAGAATTTGAACCCCAAATCATGGAAGACCTTGTATATACCCTTCAACACAAATATTAGGCTACATATTTGTATGCGAAGGAGCTTCTCACAATTCTTTGCTAATAAATTAGTTATCGAATATGGAAAAATCGACATTTTTAATAATGCTATAAATTTAGTTAAGTTAACTAATCAGGGCAAATATACAAACTTGTACTGAGTTTAATTAAGTCTCGATAAGATTGGGATAACCTCAGCTGATTCTGCATCTTTTCGAATATGTTGCAAATTATAAAGTAAATTTTAGATTCATGCTAACAAAAGTAGAGTCTCGTTATATTCTAAATCATAGCTTCTACCAAGTCTCATATTTGAAGAGTCTCTCAAATGCCTTTTTGTGATGCTTTGATTCAATATATTAGCTCTGGATGTGTTGTATTAGAAGTAAAAACGTCCACATTTCATTCTTGCACTGTCTGGTAGAGTAGATTTATCTCAGAAAGAGTTTAATGGGAGAACGAGCTTAACACCATTTTGTATAAACTACTAATTCAACAGCTTTTACTGCTTTAGGGGTTTTGGGGTTTTGGGGTTTTGGGGTTTTGGGG